TCTTAATATTATAAATATTTTACAATTAATCAATTTCTATTCACTAAATTTCACAATTTTAATGATAAATGAGATAGATATGAGAATATTTTCTGTCATTATTTATCATATTTTTTCATTATTTCTCACTCAACTTAGGCATCTGCACCCACCTGAGCTTGCTTTTTTGTCCCAGACTTCTAATTGTATTTGGTTCTGGTTCTGGTTCTGTTTTTTATAAATTTATCTTGTTCAAAAAAATAAAAAATAAATAAAAATAATAATAATAAAACTTAGGCCATTTCCAATCATTCTTCAAATATTTTATTAAATTTAAAATTGATTAAAAAAATAATGAAAATAATGATCCAACCATTTCATCAAATTGATATCAAATAAATGGAGTGTTATATTTTTTATTAAATTAAAAAAACTTTTATCTTTTTATCAAATTTTGCAAGTGGCCGTTGGTGAATGACTCGCAAGACAACTTGTTTGTCAACCGAATTTTGGGATGAATTATGAATTTTATAAAAAGATTTGATGAAAATTTACTTTTCATCGGGTGACTGACAGGACAACTGGTTGAATTGATAAAAACTTACTCTTTATCGTTGGAACTCATCATATCAAATCAAATTTAATTTTTGCTCAAATTTAATACGAAAATAAATAAAACGTTGAAGATGTAGGGACTGTTTGTTATAGCTTTTGGGAGTGATTATAGCTTATTTTGATTTGAAAGCCTGTGCTAGACTATTTGGTGCAGTTTCTACTTATAGCTTATGTTGGCACCATAAATTTATAATTTTATTATTTATTATTTATATAATTGCAGGACATGTGGCACTCTTCTACTCATTTTGAGGTATGAAAAGTTATGAAATGTTGAAAGATGACAGAGAACATGGAGTATGAAAGGAAGGTTGAAGGAAGTTATGGAAAATCATGGAATATGAAATGGAGGAGGTGGAAGAGTGGGTAGTTTTAAGTAGTTTTTTCTTACAAATGTTTGCCTATAAATAGTTATTCATGACTACATTGTAAAGGGATGAAACTCAAATCAAAGACAATTGATTTCTATTTTTTTGTCAATTTATATTTCCTGCATTTTATTTTGTGCACTTTATTTTCAAAGCATAAGATCAAAGGTAAGTAATTGTTGCTTTGATTGTTCATTCAATCATCCCGATCGTTTACTCAACCATCTTTCTCTGTCTTTTTCATTCTTTTGTTATTTTTTCTTTTCTCTACACTTGACAATTTTGAAATCCTCTTCGTTAAGGCAAAAGAATTGTCAACATAATTGCTTGATAATTGGTTTGAATTTAATCTGTAAAGATTTTTCAATCCTCAATGGCACGCTCACATTTATGATATTATCCTTTGTAGGAAAAATAAACCAATAAGTTTTTGGCATGCCCAGTAGGACGAGAAAGTTTTCAAAATGTGTACCTCCTTTCAAATATATGTAAAATGGCATTAATTAATTGTCGAATAATGCATATTTTTTGCATGATAATCAGTGACTTTACTGATAAACATTTTTATAGTCATTTATTACATGAAAATGTAACTAGTATTTTACACAAGTTAGTTTGGAAAACAACGATTTTGGTGTTTTCGGAGAATTAATAATTGGTTCGAAACACAAAATTAATATTTTCATTAATATTAATTTTGTATGAACTAGAACATACAAAATTTGAATAACCACAATGTTGGCCAAAAGTTTATTCAAAAGCCCTTTTGTCATAATTTTATAAGTTTCGAAGCACTCCATATTCCATCAACAACAACATCGAAGAAACAATAATGGTGGTTGTGAACCTTCGAAACTTTGTCAAGTATTTCCAAGAATGTAATTTGTCCTTTGTCGGTACCTTCGACCTTCGAAGGATGATTTTGGTTATCTATACCACCTTCGAAGCTTGTTATTAGTCAATAATAGCTAGCGTGTGTAACAACTTGTTAGATTGAAAATATGAGGTTCTGAATGATTCTAAGTGCAAGCAACATCAACATACTTCAAAGGATTTCAAATTTTCTAAGTGTTTAAAGTACAAGTAAACAAAATTTGTTTAATTTTCTTTAAAAGATTGATGCCAATTCGAAGCATATATGTAATATCCCTTCAAGGCATATATGTAATTTGAGATATCTAGTCATAATTTCATACTCATTCGAAGTGCCTTATTGGTGCTTTTATATCATTTGAAGCACTTTGTTAATATTATTCGAAGCATTTTGTTACTTAGATTAGTCATGTGTTTGGTTCGGCCTTTATAAAATTCAAATAAATATCATTTTTAATGGATGCTGGGATAAAATTTGTTGGCTTATTTTTTCTATGCAGAAAAATATCATAAATGCGAGCGTACTAGTAACGATTGAAAAATCCTTACAGATTAAATTCAAGCCAATTATCAAGCAATTATATTGACGGTTCTTTTGTCTCAATGAAGAGTACTTCAAAATTGTCAAGTGTAGAGAAAAGAAAAATTAATAGAAGAATGAGGGAGACGGGAAAAGATGATTGAATGAATAATCGGAGTGATTGAGTGAACAATCAAAGACAATTGATTTATATTTTTCTTGTCAATTTATATTTCCTATATTTTATTTTATGTACTTCCTCTTCAAAACATAGGAATAAAAGTAAGTAATTGTTATTTTGATTGTTCACTCAATCACTCTGATTGTTTACTCAATCATCTTTCTTCGTCTCTCTTATTCTTCTATTAATTTTTATTTTCTCTACACTTAATAATTTTGAAATCCTCTTCATTGAGACAAAAGAACTGTCAATATAATCGCTTGATAATTGACTTGAATTGAATCTATAAGAAATTTTCAATATTTGTTGGCACGTTCGCATTTATAATATTTTTCTTCATAAAAAAAATAAGCCAACAACTTATTAGACAGAAATAACTTAAATAAATTTAAAAAAATTAATTATTTAAAAGTTAAAACAGAAGTAGAAGTATTTTTACTTTTTACTTTTTAATTTAAAAAATTCCAAAACAGGCCGTACTTACACACGAAAAAATAAAAATAAAAATTAACTTCCTCATCATTTTTAGCTTCCATCCAAACGGTGCCACAACTTGAGTATTAGAGCATCTCCAATGCATCCTCCATAACTTCAAATATAAAGGATTTGTTCCTTAAATCCATCCTCTAAACCCATTTATATTTGGGAGGAGGATGAGTTGATCCTCCAAATATGAAGAGAGGATGAAAAATAAAGGATGCCCTCCAAAATACTATTCATTCTATATTTTTTATTATATTACAAATAATTTTTAATATGTAAATTTAATTTTTATAAAATTGACATCATTAAAAAATGTGAAATCATACCTTCAAAATGAGTATAATATTAAATATATTTTACAAAAATTTTAAAGTTAAATATATGTTAGAGCATCTCCAACGGTGAATCAGATTTTTCACCAAATCTGAGTAAAAAATGATCAATTTCACTAAATTTGATATCCCTAGCTCCAACGGTGCATCAAATCCTGTATCAAATCTCGTGGGTCGACCGATTGGTTGACCGATTGGTCGACTCACCGGTCCACCGGTAAGAGTAATTTTTTTTTTTTCACAGCTTTAAATTGTACATTAACAATGCTGATAAATTTACCAAGAACACTTTAATTAATTACCAGAAAAGGTGTAGAGCATTCCCTTCTCCAATTGAAACTTCTGTGAAAAACTGTCATGCGATTCGTGTCTGTGTCTCACGACAACGAATGTGTTGCCTCCTTTCGATGCTCTATGCTCTATTTTTGCATCTCCAAACACTGTCCAGCCCTTCAATCCATCATCTAACTCTGGGTTCACTACAATTCCTCCACTGTACTGAGGTTTGTGTGGATTTTCCAAACACTGGAAAAAATTGGAAGTTGTTCAGAAGGGTAAATTGAGAGACGGTTGACCGGTTGGTTGACTGGCCGGTTGACCGGCCGGTCAACCGGTAAGGCAAAAAATAATTTTTTTTTAAAACTGTTTGAACCTTTTTTGACCGGTTTGAACCTACCTAATTTAAAGGAAATCGGTCGATCGGTTGATCAACCGGTTGGTCAACCGGCCGGTTGACCGGCTGGTTGACCGGTGTACCTCTTTCAACGGTCAGTAACAGTGATTTGGTAAAATCTGTGATTTGGTAAGACCATCTCCAACGGTGAACCAAACTCAGCATCAAATTCAAATTTTGATGAAAAACTTACTTTTTCAAGCTGCAACCGTTGCACCAGATTGATATCAAAATGAGATTTCAGCAAAAAAAGTATCAAACTGAGAACGAGACACAGATTTTACCAAATTATTGTTACTGACCGTTGAAAGAGGTACACCGGTCAACCAGTAAAAGATTCAAACAGTTCAGGAAAAAAAGTTCAAACCGTTAAAAAAAAAAAAAAAAAAATTGCCTAACCAGTCAACCGGCCGGTCGATCGGCCGGTCGACCACCCCGGTCGTCCCGAAAAAGTTCAGAAAGTTCAAAAAAAAGTTCAGACAATTCGCAAAAAAAAAAAAAAAAAAAAATTTTGCCTAACCGGTCAACCGGCCGGTCGACCACCCGGTTGTCCCGGGATAGATTTGGTGAAAGGTGAACCGTTGGAGCGAGTGATATCAATTTTGTGAAATGGGTCATTTTTTACTCAAATTTGGTGAAAAATTTGAGTTACCGTTGGAGATGCTCTAAAATCTGTGTCTCATTCTCAGTTTGATGTTTTTTTTGCTGAAATCTCATTTTGATATCAATCTGGTGCAACGGTTGGAGCATAAAAAAATACATTTTTCATCAAAATTTGAATCTGATACCAATTTTGATTCACCGTTGGAGATGGTCTTAATGAACAAAAATTATTTTTTGATAAAAAGAGAATGAATGGTTTTAAAAGTTTGGAATTGACATTTAAATGAATAGTAGCATACTTTATATTTATTTTTTAAATAAAAAAAATTATTTTCATTATCAGGATTGGGTTGGAGAGGCTCCAATGGGTTGAAATAAAAACTCCCACTACTTGTTTGTCTCGTTTGAGAAGACAACTGGCGTAAACCAATGTTGTTGGGGGCAATGAATAATTTCTTGAGACATCACGGCCAACCACTGTATTTCAAACATGGCGGCTCTGAAAAGAAATCTCTGAAAACAGAGTGAGAGAGAGAGAGAGAGAGAGCATTACTCTTTATCCACATAATCCATACCTCCCCCCTCAAACTACACTTCACTCACTCAGAGAGAGAGAGAGAGAGAGAGAGAGCATGGAGGCAGAGAAACAGAGCATTGAGCAATTCAAAAATCAAACCAGGCTTCCCAAATTCGCAATCCCAAATCGTTACGATCTCACTCTAAATCCCGATCTCTTTGCTTGTACTTTTTCCGGTACTGTCCAAATCAACCTCTCGATCCTCCAAATCACCAAATTCATCGTCTTGAATGCGCTCGAACTCGTCATCGACCAAGCCTCCTTCACTAACCCCCAGAACCAGGTTTTCAATTTACCCGCCAAATTCGCAATCCCCATATTCATATCTGCTGTGGTGATCAAAGGGTTTTCGTGATTTTGCAGAAATGTGTGCCGTCGGATGTGGTGCTGGACGGTGATGATGAGATACTGATTTTGGTCTTCGATGAGGGTCTTGTTGTAGGAGATGGAGTTCTGGAGATTAGCTTTTCTGGTGTGCTTAATGTACACATGAGGGGTTTCTACAGTGGGTACTTTTTCTTTTTCTTTTTCTCTTTTTTATTTTATTTTCCTTCTGTTTGACTTGATTCTTGAGAAAACTAGGGAAAATGGTGAAAAAAAAGCTTCGTACTTTTGTGTTTGGAAAAATCACAATAATAGTCCCTATATTTTACCCTTTTGTCATTTTTATTCATACACTTTCAATTGGTTCAACATTTGGCCCCTTATTTTAGATTTTGTGTCAATTTGATCCAATTAATAATATCGGTAGTGTTTTGATAGAAATTATTACTGAATTGGTTGACAAGTTAAGTTTATATTTTTGCCCTTCAAATTATGACAAATACCACTAATGTATGTATTTTTTCATTAAAAAATGAAAAATGCTATGGATCCAGAATAATCTATCATTTTTTTTACCAAACCACGTGTGTAGGTCCCACACCGGTTTGGTGGATTATTTGAAATCCGTAGCATCACTCTTAAAAAAATATTAATAGTTGTAATCAATTGGATTAAATTGAGACAAAATCATAAATTCAATGTCAAAATCAAGCCAATTGAAATTATAGGAACCAAAATGACACAAGGACCAAAGTATTGGGACTACTGGCGTAATTTACCCTTTATGTTTTGGGTCCGCTTGGATTGAAGGATTTGGTCAAATTAAAAAAGATAGGGAGAAAAAAAGAAATTTTTTATCATTAGTTTTTGATGATTAAGATGGTAAATAGTGAGGGAATTATAGGTTTGTTTGGTTAGTTTTGAGAATTTGTTATTTGAAAAATAAAATAAAATTAAAACTCATCTCATAAAGAAAATAAAAATATAAAAAATGCTAATTATTTCATTTTTTAAAATTCAAAAATATATTTTTTGTATTTATTTTTGTCACACTAGTTTCCAATTTTTCAAATAAATAAATAAATAAATAATCAGAAAATAAGTTATGAAAACTCAACGAAATTACATTTTATTTCAGGTTTGATGAGAAATGAAAGTTGTTATTTAATTTTTTTCAAAATATCTAAATTGTCCAAAATAGAAAACATTAAAAATAACATGATATATATATTCTTTTTTATTTAACACAATTATGAAAATTCACAATCATTTTTTATTTTATTTTCTCATCCAAGTGAGAGACCATAATCATATATATTTCTTTTTTCACGTAGTTTACCAAATGGATTAGTGTTTTAAAAAAATGATTAAAACTCAGGTAAACTGAGCCAATTACTTGTAATGGTTGGAGACTTGGAGTAGAGTGGAAATTTTAGTGTTCTTGGTTCAGATGAGGAGAACTTGAAAAGGAATGACTTTCTTAGCAACCCACCAGAGCCTTTTAGATTTCTATGATATTTCTATACACGTGAATTGATATTTGAGTTTTAATAGTACATATATGGATGGTGGAGTGAAGAAGAATATGGCGTCGACTCAATTTGAAGCAGTGGAGGCACGACGGTGTTTTCCTTGCTGGGATGAACCTGCTCTCAAGGTTCATTTAATTGCTTTTATGTTTTTCCATTGTTGCAATTTACAGCTTTAAGTTTATGGAGCTGAATTAAAAACCACCAAAATCCAGAAAAACTGAAAGGGTAGATTTATCATAATCTATCATAATTCTGCTTGTGCTTTTCTCTTATACGTTCAATTGAAACGTACATGGTTCTTAAAACAGGCCACCTTCAAGATAACACTGAACGTGCCATCCGAGTTGACTGCATTGTCTAATATGCCAGTTGTCCACGAAAAGCTTAACGGGCATCTAAAAACAGTACATTTTGAAGAATCACCAATTATGTCAACTTATCTGGTGGCTGTTGTGATTGGTTTATTTGATCATATAGAAGAAACAACGGCTGATGGTATGCATACGAGTTAAAAGGTTTATTTAAATTGTTTAATAGATTTTTGTTTCTGTTCCATAGTTTCTCTGATTCTCTTGTAGGGATTATGGTTCGTGCGTACTGCCCTGTTGGTAAGAGTGATCAAGGAAGATTTGCTCTAGATGTTGCAGTGAAGGCACTTGATATATATAAGAAGTAAGTAATTCCAACCTTAATTTGTTGTGAAATAATACTAGAAACTTATGGAGAAGATTGTTTAGGTTGAATCAATTTACCATGTAGTTCAACACACAAGAAGTATGATAGAGAAAATTGAACATAGATGTGGTAATTGACAATGTCAAGTCTGAGAAAGTTTCCTTTTTCTATCTCAAAAAACAACTTTGATTCTGTTATGTGGTGTACATTCTACTTCTGGAACAACAGTAAATTTTCTTCAATTGTTTTGTTAATTTTGGTTACTGTTTAGGTACTTCTCCATGCCTTACACTCTTCCTAAGCTGGATATGGTTGCTGTCCCTGATTTTCAGTATGGGGCCATGGAGAATTATGGCTTGATCACCTATCGTGAATCTGAGCTGCTCTATGATAATTTGTATTCTACAGCTGTTAACAAACAGAGGGCAAGTGCTGTCTTCTCTTTCATAATTTGATGATTCCAAGATTAAAAAAAAATTAAAAAGCACCAACCTTTTTGCCGCAATTTTTTTTTTTAAACTTTGAGAATAGAGGTGGAAGGTTTTTGCTGATTATTTTATGTGTACTTCATCTTCATTCCCTTCATATTTATATTCATAGAAATAAGTACTAGTTTTTACCAAGGTTTTTCTATTGAATACTTTTGTTCTGCCAGCTTGCAATTGTGGTGACACATGAAGTTGCACATCAATGGTTTGGCAATCTGGTAACAATGGAATGGTGGACTCATTTATGGCTTAATGAAGGTTTTGCAACATGGGTAGTTCTTTAATCTTAGTCTTTCTACTTCGTTGCTTCTGCTTTTTGGGCATATCCTTGGACTTGATGTTATATCTGCACTGCCTCCTAATTTTATTTATCCAGGTGAGCTATTTAGTCACTGACACCTTATTTCCTGAGTGGGAAATCTGGACTAAATTTCTTGAAGACACTGCTGGGGGTTTACATTTGGATGCATTGGAAACCTCACACCCAATAGAGGTAAAAATAGGTTTCCTTGAAAGCGTATGTATGCATCACCTGCTGGTGATTTACAATTAACACCCTTTATATGGTTATGACATTAAGAAGTTTATTTTTGAGAATCAAAGCAACATTACCGGAGCTCAACAAGTATTGCTGTTTGAAAGTGCACCATGAATTCCAGTTTTGTCCATTTGATGTTGGTGAGCATATCTTTGCAGGTGGAGATACATCATGCTCGTTCAATTGATGAAGTTGCTGATGATATAACCTATACAAAGGGATGTGCTGTTATTCGAATGTTAATGGACTATCTTGGTGATGACGTTTTCCAGGTGGGAATGTTTCATTTATGAAATTATGAGGATATTGTTTAGTAGTTAGTCATATAAATTACTTATTCATTCTATGTAATCTGTAAATATATAGTCAAATTCCATTTGCAATTTGTCATAAACCTGCTATTGCCTATTAAACATTAAATTAGAGATCCTTAAATAGTATTTCAAATCTAATTATGTGGTAGATGATGTGACGATGCGCTTGTTGAGCTGTGGCAGCTATCTAATTTTCTTATCTTAATGACGCGAGGTAGTTCATAAATACCCTAAAATATTACAATTATGTCGAGGATTATGTCCTGGATCCATGTTGTCGCTATAGATTAGTAGGCAGGAAAAAGGACATCTATTGCCAGCAAGTGTTCCTAGCAAGGTTCTGAAAAGCGGTTGCAGTCGCCGTAACGGTGGCGGTGGCGCCGTTGCGGTTGCAGGGTGTAAAGGCCGTAGCGTAACGGTTGCGGTAACCGGAATCGTGAATTTTTTCATTTTTCGCACAATTTGAAAAAAACTTACCGATACGCACATTTTTTTTTCCATGATCATATTTATTGGGTTTTAAAATAAATATTGATCAATTTTGATAAATTTTTAAGTTTGATCCAATATACTTCATATTTTTAAATCACTATAAACTGAGTTTTTTACATTTTATTTTAATTAATGACTTTATATTATACAAAAATCAATCACTAACTATTATATATAAGATAAACAATGACAAAAGTAAGAGAATAAATAAAAACTTAAATATATATATAGATATATATATATATATATATATTTTTTAATCAAGCTAAATAGATAATGACCATATTTATTATTATTATTTTCAAACAATATATAGATAGACACACACAAACAAAATGGTTGAGTGATAGCAGCTGAATAGAATAGCATAAGTCTTACAACTTCAACAAATCAATAACATGTTCTTCATCTTCCCTATTCTCTCTCTCTATCTCTCGTTCCTCTATCTTCCCTCTTCTCTCTCTATCTCTCTTCCCCCATTTTCAACTTCTTTTTTTTTTTTTTTTTTTTCGAAAGAAGCAATTTGGAACCGTTATGTAACGGTGCATAACAGGCCGTTACGGCCGTTGCGGCACCGCTACGACCGCTATAGCAGCCGCTACGGCCGATACACCTGTGAATCTCAATCACACTGCAAAAGCGGGCGTAACGGGTGGCGGTAACTACCACAACCGTTACGTAACGGCGTTACGTAACGGTTGCGGCCGCTTTTTAAAACCTTGGTTCCTAGGCTTTTTCTTGAATTATTATTATTATTTTATTTTTACAGTGGCTATGAGTTTTGATATTGCTAGTATTTTGGGTTTTATCCAGAACTATTTTATAAAAAAAAAAGTTACAGCTAGAATCATTGCTATCTCTCTCTCAATATTTCACTTGGGTTCGGATTTGGTAATCTATTTATTGGGATTGGATTGCAGGCTGATCTAATATGATTTTTGAACTCTTATTAAAGTGGAAAATTAGAAACTACTTTTGGTTATTTTTCATACTTAATTTATGTCTTCATCTAGTGAACCACAAAATTTCGTTTCTTTTGTGTGTATTCTTTATTTTCGTTTCTCCTGTTGTGACTTGTCATACCACTATCTACCAAATTTCAAGTTTTATGCAACAATAGGATCCTTATTATCGCAGGATTCTAAATTCAAACAGTCTTGTTAGCTGTTCATGCAACAAAAGGATCCTTATTATTTCTCTTAACTTTATCACATTGTCTACAAACAGAAATCTTTAAGTTCATACATGAAGAAGTACGCTTGCAAAAGCACAAAGACAGAAGACTTGTGGAGTGTTCTTTCGGAAGAATCTGGCATCCAAGTGAACACAATGATGGACACATGGACGAAGAAAAAGGGCTATCCAGTTATCTCTGTTAAACTTGAAGATTTTAACTTAGAATTTGAACAGGTTTTCTTGATTTATTGTTATTATTATTACTTCTTGTCTTTCTGATCGAGAATCAAATATAAAAGCATTATGGATCAGGCAGTCACAAAATCATCTTTATACGATTCTCTCTCTCTCTCTCTCTCATGTTTAATAAACATTTTTTTTTTTTGAAATTTGCAGTCACAGTTTTTGTTTTCTGGTTTGCACTCTGATGATTGCTGGGTTGTCCCAATAACTTTGTCGGTTGGTTCATGCAACGTGAAAAAGAATTTTCTTTTAGAGACAAAATTTGGCAAGTTGGATATATCCGGACTGTTTTATTCTTCTGATGGCAATTCAAGCTCTTTTGAGGAGAAGAATCAAGAGAAATTTAATGAAAATTATTGGGTCAAATTAAATATTGGGCAGACTGGATTTTATAGGGTGAAATATGATGAAAAAGTCACTGCACAACTAAGGAAAGCTATCGAGGACAATTGCTTGTCTGCAGCAGATAAATTTGGTGCATACTTTTTAAATATATTTGATATAGTAGTTTACTAGGAATCTCGCTATTTTCCTTAACTCATCTCAACAAATACAACATACGTACTCTCCATTTAAAGTGTAACTTCCTTTTCATACCATTTTTCAGGCATTTTGGATGACATGTATGCTCTTTGTGAGGCGTGTGAAGTGCCACTGTCATCTTTGCTTTCCTTGATGAACGTATACAGAAAGGAGCTTGATTATATCGTGTTATCACGAATCATTAATGTAAAGGTTTCTACCATATATCTACCATAGATTGCACAATTGATTTTCAACTTGATTTTTTAGTTTTTGTATGCATGACAGATAAGTTCTAATGTTGCGAAGATCGCAAGTGATGCCGTACCGAATTTAGCAAATCGTATGAAACAATTTTTCATTGATCTCCTCCTTTTCTCCGCTGAGTAAGAAGATCCACTATATCTGATTAACATGTTTGTATGCTGATTGATTTCAACCAATCATCTTAATTTTGACTAAAGAATGAATGATTCATATGCTTGCCCAAGTGCCTGGGTTGGGGTTTAGAAGCACAAAAAAATTAAATAAATCAACAAATCAAGAGATTTGAGTTTCTTATTTCACAGTTAAAATCATATTTGCTCGTTATTATTTGCAGAAAATTAGGTTGGGAACCTATCCAAGGAGAGAACCATTTGAATTCGATGTTGAGAGAAGAAGTTTTGCTGGCCTTGGTTAAGTTTGGCCATGACAGTACCATTGTTGAAGCAACGAAGCGCTTTGAAGCATACTTGGGTGATCGAAACACTACGCTTCTTCCGGTTTACTGTAGAAAGGTAAACATTTCAAATTGATCGTTATACTTAATTCTGTGGACATTTCAAGTGCTGATATTTGGAAATTTTGTCCTAAAGGCTGCTTACGTTGCTGTAATGAGGAATGCCAATACCAGCAATAGGAGCGGGCTTGAATCCCTAATAAATGTATACAAGGAAGCAGAGGCGATGCAAGAAAAGGCCCGGGTTCTGCGTAAGCTTCAATTATGGCATTTTCTTTTGCATTTGTTATATATCGTGTCATCTGGTTAAAACTGTTGCACGGTCATGGGTAGAATTCAACCCCAAAAGCTAGTTGTTGAGGTGAGGGTGCCCTCACACTTATATATTACACACATTACAACTGTATCCAGGCTATGTGGGATGTCGCATCACAGAAACCGTGCGTGGATTTAGGGTTATATATATTCACATTCTTAACTTCTACAGGTTGTATCGCATCTTGTCCAGACCCCGATATAGTTTTGGAGATTTTGAATTTCATGTTATCTGATGAGGTATCACAACTTGTCTAGTACCCTACAGTTTTTGACAATTATCAAAATTTTATTTCCACTATTCTAGTTATTGACTTCATCATTTTGTCCTCAGGTTCGAGGTCAAGATAGATTGTATATATTACCCGGATTAAGCTTAGAAGGGCGCAAGACAGCATGGAAATGGTTAAAAGTATGTACATGGAAACTGGGCTACAGATTCAAGATAATAAATGAATAACATGTTGACAGTTACTGCTATAGTGGTTATTTTGGGATTTTGGGAAATATCATGCTATGAAAAATTGGGAAAATTGGGAGCCTCTTAATGCACCCTAAAATTTTGGTTAGACAATCCACATTTAATGATTTTTATAAATACCATTACACCATCATGTATAATTTCAATGAAGTACAAAAACCCTAAAATTTTTGGACACCTACCTTTTCTCAACCCCCACTCTGGTGGCAACTACCATCATCGTCCACCCCAGTTGCCGCCACAGCACCCATACACCCCCGAGCTTCGGTCAGCCTCCCCCGCCCCTCCTCACTCTGGCCAACCCTCCACCACCCCACCCCACCCCCACCCCCACACTACCCTACTCTTTTCCACCCTCCAAGGCCACCCCCCGCCTCTCCCCTCCTCCGCCACCACCAATCATCAAGATTGAGTAGAGCAGAGCAAGAGAGGACATAGAGAATCACAAACAGAGCAGACTGAGAATCATGACTGAGAGAGGGAGAAATTGCGAAGGCAGGCCATAGGAAGGGAAGGACAAGCGGCCATGAGGAAAGGGGAGGGTGTGGTAGGCGGTGACAGAGGTGGCGCTGGCGTCAGAGGTGGGTGGGGGTAGGGATGGTATTAATTGGGGTGTTCAAAGAAAAAGAAGAAAAATCAAATTTGAGAATGGAGTGTCTTGAGAATGGGGTGTCCAATCATAATTTTGGAGTGCATTTAAGCCACCCTTGAAAATTACCAAAACTTGAAGAATAATGCTATATGCACTAATTGGTATACCAATTGGTGTACTAATAGATGATGTGGTATAATTTTAGAGATTTTGGATATTTGTAATTTATAATATGGGTGGGGTTAGTAACATGGTTATCAAAATCCCAATCCGGATCTTACGATCCTATGATCTTACGATCTATTTGAGTACAATCGATCCGGATCGTGTAAAAAATTCCTTATAGGTAGGATCTTTCGATTCTGGTAATGGGATCTTATAGGATCATGGAATCCCGATCCGAATCCAATCCTATCCGATCCGATTTACAAGCCTTGTTTTGTATTGTATTGTATGACATATTTTATTGTAAATTTTATGTTTGTTGTCTAAATATCAATTTATGTGATCAAAATAAATAATAAAAATTAAGTAGTATTGAATCAAATAGATTAAAAAAAAACAAACTAGGAAACAAACATTCAAATATTGCGGTAATTTAAGAAAATTAACTAGTCGAAAAAATAAACTTAGCTTTAGCGGAGTCGAAGGAGGGTAAGATGATTGCAATTTTATCCCAATTTTTGGAGAGATTATTTTTGTGAGTTGAATCCGCTCCACCAGGATGCTAACGACAAACCTTATCATTCGGTTAAGCTGCTTTTTGAGTTTTTAATCTATTTTCATATCCAACTTTGTTAAATATTTTTTCTTCACTTTTTATGCATTATTGTAGATTGTAAAGTATTTTGTTATAGAATTCTTCTTCTTCACCTCCTTTTTTGATGAAATACAAAACTTTTACCATCAAATTTTCTATTGTATAATATTATATTTACATTTTACATGGAGTATTATATTTTTCATAATATCTTCATTTCTTTTTAATAGAATATAGGCTCATTTTTTGTATACTTTTTAAGAAATATTTATTTAAATTAAATTATTATGTAATTTATTTTTTTCGGTAGAATCTTGCGATTCTCGATCCGATCCTATAAACACCCCCAACGATCCAACGCAGGATCCCGATTTTAACAACCTTGGTTAGTAATAATGTCATAAGGCATGTTGGTATACTAGTTTTATACCAATTGGTGCATGTAGTATCACCGAAACTTGAAAATTCGATCAGCAAAATGTTGTGAAAAAGAAGGGAAGCCACAGTAAAGTCACAAGTCACAAGTCATTATGAAAACAAAATGCTAGCTATAAACACGCATGAATGATTCAGAATGACTGAAACGTTCCTGTTCAATTTTGATAAAAAGTGGGTTTTGAGTAAGGATTTTCCCTAAATTATTGTTCTAGTAATAATTATACTGTTCTAGTTTGTCTTTCCTCACATTGCTGATTGCATGCGCCTTATCTTCTGAATTTTTATGGTTCATGGAGTTATATATATGTTTGGAAATGAATGCAGGAGAACTGGGATTTAATCCTTGAAAAATGCGCTGGGCCAATACTTCACTCTTTTGTTAGAGGCATCGTCACACCAGTAAGTAACTTCCCTCAACACACTTACAATGCACATATGATGCATCTGTGTGTGCTATTATTTTCATTTATACAGTATCCAATCCAAGTCATTGCTTGCAGCTTACAAATTGCCGAGTTTGAATTTCAATAGATCTTTTTCTCCCTTTGGATTTCTAGGAAACTGGGAACTTGAGTGTGTTTGAAAACTAGTTGACACTGGTAACTTATAACTAAAAAGAAGAAAGTAGAACCCTCTAGTTTCTAAATGCTGTTGGCATACATAATCCTTAGTGTTCGAGTCCAGCCATGTCCTGTTGATATTCCATGGGAATATTAAACTAGTTTGGTTGTGTTTTCGTTTTTTCTTCATTTTCATTTTTCGTGTTTTTGAAAATAAAAACGGAAAGTTTGGAAACAACAAATGTTTTAATTTTTTGTGCAAAATAGTTTTTGAAAAATTGAATACGACTTTTTGGTATTTTCTAACAACTATGTTGTTTTCACAGAGAGATTTCTGAAAATAGTTTTCAAGAAATGTTAGATGTGTTTTCCATAAAATGAAAACATAATTCGAAAACACAACCAAACATGCAAATCATTTTGGAGTACAATGACTTTGTCAAGGAGGAATTATTAAGCAGAGACACCTCAACAAACCAAAATAACAATAACCACTTGAGAAGTGTAGGATTCATTTGGATAATCAGGCTCATCATTGCTTAACATCCTCAACCTTGGAGTACCCAAATGGAGTCGAAAGAAGTTATTCATATATATTTGGAAGTTTTTCTCATTGTTTTTGCTAAGAGGACGTGTATTTGAAAATGACTAGTTATTTGGATCACTGCTAGTCAACATGTAGGATTATGGTTGATTCAAAGCATTGGCCTTTTATGTCTTTGTCTTGCTTCAGTTTTCCAGCCATGAAAAGGCAGATGAAGTGGAAGCGTTTTTTGCTAGCCGTGATATTACTGCATTTGCTAGGATTTTGAAGCAAAGCATTGAGCAAATCAGAATCAAAGCGAGGTGGGTTGAAAACATAAAACAAGAAGAATCTCTAGAGGAGCTTGTGAGAGAACTAGCTCGCGTTAGATGATCGCTTCACCCATGAATTAAGTCAATGATATTCACATCGAGCACGTTTAATTAGTGATTATGTGAGGGTTCTTGTAATGAAATCAACCCTGAGAATAAAATTTAAATCCCGCGTCATGGAAGGTTCCGCTTGTATAATGGCTGGCCTACTCTGCTTTAGGAGAGGCATAGTCAATAGTGTTTGACACTTGAGCTCTTTGGCTATAACTATTATGTACTATATTGCTTTTGTTGTATCATATACTAGGTTTTCTACATTGCTGTAATGCTATTGCTGTTGTGTGAGTTTATTTATTTATTTACCAAACCCAGCCATTTTAAAACAAACTCTCAAATCCAAAACAGTTTTGAACTTATGTTTCAAACCCATGTTTTGTGAAGGTGTGAAAATAAAACGGCATGGTTTGGAAAATAAGTTTAAAACTGCTTGGGTTTGAAAAATTTATTTTAAAATGGCCTAAGTTTGGTAAAATAAACTCATTGTGTCACACTATTGAGTTTAAGATATCCGAGATTTGTTTTGTTTGTTTGGTCAATTTTTATCTTTATTTTTATTTTTTGACTAAGAGGCATAGTGTTTGCTTACAAACGTGGAGCAAAAATGATTTAAATGAACTGAAAAAAATTGATTGTTGTTGATAAATTGGAAACGAATATTTTTTTATTTTGCGTTTAAATATTAGCTTGTAACTTGTAAAAAAAAACTGCACCAAATACATTGCAACTACCATATTTGACCTAGTTCTCCATTTTATGCTTTTAAATCTTCTCTTTTTTTAATTTTAAATTTTTTTAACAAATTACCCAATATGACAACATTTGGGATTTGATGTGATCCATCACAGGGTTGGACTTTCCAAATTTCACTGCCAAATAAAATAAGATAATATATTAGATTAGATTAGATTAGAGTATTTTTGAGTAGGGATGGCAATTTGAAACCGGCCCGACGGGGGCCCGATCCCCCGATCCCGATTTGAATGGTTTTTCCCCGAAAAATACCCCCGACGGGGAGGGGATGGTATTTAAAAATTAATCCCCGATTAATTTCGGGCCGGGGACGGTAATTAATGCCCAATCCCCGGCCCCGGCCCGGCCCCGACCAATTTGTCCCCGACTTAGTATATATATATATAAAATATACTTTATATATTATATATTATGTTTCCGTCTCTCTCTATCTTTCATTTGCACACTCTTCCCTCTCTTCTCTCTCTCTGGTTCTCATCATCCTCTCACTACCTCTCATCTCTCTCTCTCTCCCTCTCACTCACTCACAGTCTCTCTCTCTCTCACTCTCGTACTCTCCTCCCCTTCAGCGCCACCGTCGCTGTGGCCTCGCACCGCCGTCCTCCTCCGTTTTTCGTCTCAGCCACTGTCGTTCATCGCCTTCGCCCATGCAGCCGTCGTCGTCTACCATCGCCGATTGCAGCAACCATCGCCGATCGCAGCCACCATCGCCGAGCGCAGCCACCGTGGTCCACCTTCGGTGCAGTCACCATCGCCGACTCAGATCTGTTTGATGACACACAAATCTCAGATCTGTCTCTATTTGTCTTTATTTTTTTTTTTTGGTAGTTGATGCACGTTGATGATGTTCTTGATTGATGAATGCACACTCAGATTTGTTGATTGATGATTTTTTTTTATGATTTTGTTGATGATTTTGTTGATGTTCAAAGTTGTTGATGATGTTGAAACAGATTTGGGCGGGGAATTTTCGGGGTCGGGGATACCCGATCCCTGTTAGGGGGCGGGGATGGGGACGGTGACAGGGTTCCCGTCGGGGATCGGGGCCGGGGCCGGGGAATTTTTTACCATCGGGGATCGGGGACGGGGAGGGTGATCCCCGGCCCCGCCCCGCCCCGTTGCCATTCCTATTTTTGAGTACTTGACCAAATCTCAAGCAAGTATTATATTAATGAGAACATTATCTGTAAAGCAACATCACCACAATCAAAACTAAAACCAACTACTACAATCTCACATGACGACACTATACCGATTCGATGGTTATGTTTGTCTGTAATAGTTTAATTGCATAGTAGACATCAAATCATTTGTATTTTCTATGCATACAATTCAGTGATAGAAAAATGCTTTGACCCCATTGGGGGTCGACCCCCGTTGAGGTGGCGCGTCGTGATTGAACAAAAAAAAATTATCTTACTTAATTTTATTTTATTTTTTAAGTTTCACCTCACTGGGGGTGCGACCCCCACTGGGGTCTGCACCATAGTTGTACAGTGATATGGCTAAGAATGGGTCTAGCTTGTCAGAATTGAATTAACATTGAATACAATGTCGTGTGATAAATTATCAAAAATATTAATTTCATGTACAAGGAAATGTTATCAAGTGTTCCATAAATATTATAATTTTGTGTGGCAATATTATAAATTAATAAAAAAAATTATAATGTGATAGTGGGAATTATATAATTAAATTAATAAGATATATAAACAAAATGTCTCTTAAATTTTATTTACAATATTTTATTAACTAATTACCAAATTATAATAATATCATATAAGATGGTGTTGCACTTGCAGAAGAAGAGGGTTGGTAGCCATGACCTACTTAAAAATGAGAAGAAAAAAAAAAGACCCCTTAATTTTTTTAAAAAAAATTATGTAGTTTTGCAAATCAGAATGCTTCTTTTATTTTGATTGGAAAAATGGAAGTTTTCTCTTTAGTTGTTTTGTTACTTTTGTTCTCTAAGAGCATCTCTAATGGTGAATTTTTTTTTTCACCAAATTTGAGTAAAAAATGATTCATTTTCTCAATTTGATATCAGTTGCTCCAATGGTTCATTTTCGTCAAATCTGCTCCGGAACAACCGGTTGGTCGACCGGTAAGAGGAAATTTTATTTTATTTTTTGAATTGTTTGAACCAATAAATTTGAACTGTTTGAACCTTTTAGTGGTCGACCGGCTGGTTGACCGGTAAGGCAAATTTTTTTTTTGAATTGTTTGAACCTACAAATTTGAACTGTATGAACCTTTTAGTGGTCGACCGGTTAGTCAACCGGCTGGGCAACCGACTGGTTGACCAGTTCCTCCCTCCAACGGTCACACACAGTGATTTGTTGAAATCTGTATTCTGTCCTCACTTTGATGATTTATTTGATGAATTCTCAATTTGATACCAGTTTGGTGAAACCGTCGGAGCATAAAAAAGTACTTTTTTCACCAAATTTTAAATTTAATGCCAGGTTTGGTGAAGCGTTGGAGATGGTCTAAGCCCTCTCATTTGCACTAAAAAAAATAAAAATAAAATAACTCTTTGAATGTACAAGATGTTAAAATACATTAAAATAACCTCTAAATATAATTTTTAATATGAAACATGTGTCTAGAACAATGCATGGCTCTGATAACATAAAAAGTCTCTTGATCATATATATTTAATAGGGAAAATCGGTCTAGGGTCCCTCTCCCACTTTTCGTAATGGAAGAGGTCCACAAAATTATATTATGATGTCTAAGGTCCCTGTAGAGAAATTTCATATCCCTCACCCTTCAAACCTCCATAAACCAATTCGATAATTTGTCTCTCCATTCTAGAGAGAGAATCTAGAGAGAGAGAGCGCCATAGTTGCATTGCAGATCTGTTGAACAGACATGGAGGCTGCCTACTTCAATGATTCTCAACGTGAGGCAACGAACGATGATGGTGTAATTGCTGGACTCAATGTAATGCGTATCATCAATGAACCCACTGCCGCTCCTTCTTGGCAGCCTCTCGGATCAGATTATCGAAGAAATCTTCGATTGTTATCAAACATATTCACCCCCACATGTATTGACTTTGCCCAACTCCAGTATGGCGTCCCAGAAGTCCATCATCCACCGAACCTCATTTTAGAGAGAGAATCTAGAGAGAGAGAGCGCTATAGTTGCATTGCAGAGCTGTTGAACAGACATGGAGGCTGCCTACTTCAATGATTCTCAACGTCAGGCAACAAAGGATGATGATGTTATTGCTGGACTCAATGTGATGCGTATCATCAATGAACCTACTGCCGCTGCCAGGCGTCCATACACGATTGCTTGAACACTGGCCATTAGTTTCGCTATCTCTCGACCTGAGAAGCCTTCTGTCTTCTTGGCAGCCTCTCGGATCAGATCATCGAAGAAATCTTCTATTGTTATCAGACATATTCTCCCCCACATGTATTGACTCTGCCCAACTCCAGTATGGCGTCCCATAAGTCCATCATCCACCGAACCTCATTCTTCGAATCTACGAATCTCTCACTCCTCCACCACTATAAACGAGATTGAAAAACATTTTAGAGACAAACCGAGAACAAGACAGAGTCTCTATATACAAACCCATGCCAATTTCAGACCCTTGGCCTCATTTTTAGCAAACTCATTTCCTATAAACAAGAAAGGGACAAATTGAGAGTGTGAATCTGAAGAGTTCTTACTTTAAAAACCCTGAAAGCTCTGAAAATTGAAAGCACTTTGCGTATACACTGACTTTTCCATCTCTTTGCGAATTTCTCTGGGTTTGGGAAATTTATTTGGTTTAAGTGAATTTCTTTGGGTTTGGAGAAGAGAAATTTCTCTGGAGAGAGGGGAAGGCCAGAGAAATTTTCTCTAGATAGCCAGAGAAAATCACAGAGATGAGTATATGATTTAGTCAAAGAAATTTGGAAATTTCTTTGTGAAGTCACCAGAGAAATTCTCTGTGAACCAGAATTCTCTGTGAAGTTCACAGAGAATTCTCTGTGAAATTTGATATTTGATTCTACAGAATTCAAGTTGTAGAATTGGTAATAATTATTGATTTTGCTAAATTCGACTTCACAGAGAAAATTGGTGCAGGGACTTACCTTCCTTAGACTTTCCATTGCAAATTTCTCTGGTCTTCCCTTCTCTCCAGAGAAATTTTTTTCTCTGGCCTTCTGTATATTTCCCACTCTCCGTTAGAATTAGGTAAGGATAGATATACCCTGAAAATTTTGTAGATAAGTACAACAAAAATTTATTGAATTCATTCAAAGAAAATGATAGGAATTTCCCAAACAAATTGTAGAAATTCTGAATCAATATCAACAATATAGCATATTCAAACAAGATGAAGCACATTACAATTTCTCTAGAGAGAAAGGAAATTTCTCTAGAGAGAATGGAAGGCCAGAGAAATTTACAGTGGGAATTCTAGGGAATGTTAGAGAAATTGGAAAGTCCAAAGAAATTCTCTCTTTCTTATCTATGCTAAGGTATGGCAAAATCTTACTGTCAACCACCTCATCTTGTTGAACTTGATCTACAAAGAGCACTAGGATTAGCAAACAGAATTTTGATAGTAACCCTTCATGAAAAGATATTTGTAAGAGAACATATAAAATGCACGATGATGCAGAGTTTCCTGGATTGTGTGAATTTTCTCTGGATGTCTAAATTTTCTCTGGACTATCTGAATTTTTTCTGGATAAAGAGAATTTCTCTAGATGTCTGGAGAGAATTTCTCTGGACCGAATTTTCTCTGGATCGAATTTTCTCTGGATTGATGTTGAAGGACCTTAGACATTATGAAAATATTGAGTGTCCTTTATACTATAAATTCTTAATATCAGGGACCTTAAAAAAAATCCCCCTATTTAATAATGCATAAATTTTATATTTTAATAAAAATTATCAATACCTCCTTGAGAGGGAGATTTATGATCTAGTTTCGGCCAAACAAGATTGGGCCGAGGTATTTGGCTTCAAGATTGTGCCGTGGTTTTGCTCAGTAATGGCAAAGGGCCTGCGGAGCCGAGCTACTTGGGCTCTTTGGTATGAAGGCCGGTCAAGTGAGAGCTCGGCTGAAACGTCCGCGGCCTAGAAGGGCTTCATGGTTCGTGCGTTGCTCGGTCGGAAGGCGCGCACCCATAGCTCGGCGTGAAGATTCGTGCCTAAAGCTCGGCAGGAAGGCTTTGGTTGACCGGAATGACCAATCCCGTGCTCGGTGTCGCTGGAATGCGGTCGAGCACGGCTGAAACGAAGCTCGGTTATTGAAAGCACTTGGTCTTGAAGTGGAGTATGGCTATTGGCAGCCGAGAAGCTGCAGCCCGGCTGCCGAGCTCCCAGTAGAGTGGGCTGGCAGTTGGGTTAGGTGGTGTTCAGCAAGGTTTATGCTGACTGATTTAAATGAACTGAAAAAAATTGATTGTTGTTGATAAATTGGAAACGACTATTTTTTTTTTTATTTTGCATTTAAATATTAGGTTGTAACTTGTAAAAAAAAAACTACACCAAATAGATTGCAGCTATCATATTTGACCTAGTTCTCCATTTTATGCTTTTAAATCTTCTCTTTTTTTAATTTTAATTTTTTTTTAACAAATTACCCAATATGACAAAATTTGGGATTTGATGTGATCCATCACAGGGTTGGACTTTCCAAATTTCACTGCCAAATAAATAAGATAATATATTAGATTAGATTAGATTAGAGTATTTTTGAGTACTTGACCAAATCTCAAGCAAGTATCACCACAATCAAAACTAAAACCAACTACTACAATCTCACATGACGACACTATACCCATTCTATGGTTATGTTTGTCTGTAATAGTTTAATTGCATAGTAGACATCAAATCATTTGTATTTTCTATGCATACAATTCAGTGATATGGCTAAGAATGGGTTCCTTCTAGCTTGTCAGAATTGAATTAACATTGAATACAATGTCGTGTGATAAATTTTCAAAAATATAATTTCATGTACAAGGAAATGTTATCAAGTGTTCCATAAATATTATAATTTTGTGTGGCAATATTATAAATTAATAAAAAAAATTATAATGTGATAGTGGGAATTATATAATTAAATTAATAAGATATATAAACAAAATGTCTCTTAAATTTTATTTACAATATTTTATTAACTAATTACCAAATTATAATAATATCATATAAGATGGTGTTGCACTTGCAGAAGAAGAGGGTTGGTAGCCATGACCTACTTAAAAATGAGAAGAAAAAAAAAAGACCCCTTAATTTTTTTAAAAAAAATTATGTAGTTTTGCAAATCAGAATGCTTCTTTTATTTTGATTGGAAAAATGGAAGTTTTCTCTTTAGTTGTTTTGTTACTTTTGTTCTCTAAGAGCATCTCTAATGGTGAATTTTTTTTTTCACCAAATTTGAGTAAAAAATGATTCATTTTCTCAATTTGATATCAGTTGCTCCAATGGTTCATTTTCGTCAAATCTGCTCCGGAACAACCGGTTGGTCGACCGGTAAGAGGAAATTTTATTTTATTTTTTGAATTGTTTGAACCAATAAATTTGAACTGTTTGAACCTTTTAGTGGTCGACCGGCTGGTTGACCGGTAAGGCAAATTTTTTTTTTGAATTGTTTGAACCTACAAATTTGAACTGTATGAACCTTTTAGTGGTCGACCGGTTAGTCAACCGGCTGGGCAACCGACTGGTTGACCAGTTCCTCCCTCCAACGGTCACACACAGTGATTTGTTGAAATCTGTATTCTGTCCTCACTTTGATGATTTATTTGATGAATTCTCAATTTGATACCAGTTTGGTGAAATCGTTGGAGCATAAAAAAGTACTTTTTTCACCAAATTTTAAATTTAATGCCAGGTTTGGTGAAGCGTTGGAGATGGTCTAAGCCCTCTCATTTGCACTAAAAAAAATAAAAATAAAATAACTCTTTGAATGTACAAGATGTTAAAATACATTAAAATAACCTCTAAATATAATTTTTAATATGAAACATGTGTCTAGAACAATGCATGGCTCTGATAACATAAAAAGTCTCTTGATCATATATATTTAATAATGCATAAATTTTATATTTTAATAAAAATTATCAATACCTCCTAATACAAGATTTTTCACTTTCAATGAAATACAGTCGAAATTCAATTTTTGATAACAAGATTCTTACTCCATCTCTCTCGCAATTTATCACCAAATAAATATTCATATATTTATTTTTAAAATCAATACGTGATATTCAACTCTCTCTGAATGTGTATTATCCGATAAGTTATTAGTGATTTAACGTTTCTTGTACTATTTGGCCATGTCAATTTGAAATCATGATAAATTAGTTACTCCAAAATCATAATACAGATGATTTTATTCATATTTACAATTGTTTAGATAAAAAAATTTACAAATCACTAAATGTTTTGATGAACTATCAAATGGCATCATAAAGTCAATAAAAAGTTAATTTATTTGTGTTAATTTGATTCTCAAAAATTTATTTGATACTTTTAATTCGCCCTCTACGTAAAATTTCTAGTTCTTCCACCTTGTTGCACATTAGGCCAAAGGAGGGGGCAGGCTAAAATGAACCTCAAATTCAGACACCCGGTTGTTATACTCAAACTTAATTGATACATGTAGTTTATGAATAAGCCATTTTGTAAAGTTGAGTTGAGAAAAAAGTGAAATAAAACAAAACTTATAGAATTTGATAACATTATAAATATAACAAAACATCACAACCATATCACTCTTTCTAAAATTTCAAAAAATACAACAGTTATGTGGACTCCAAAAAAAAACAACATAATAAAAATACAATTTACAGCCCTCAAACCCTTACAAAACCTCTATGCATTGCACCCTTACCAAAAACTCTCAATGTGTACTGTATATGTATATATATATATATGTCAGGAAAAAAAATAGAAAAAAACAAAATCAAATCAACAAACCTCTAAACCTTGTTTTTTTTTTTAAAAAAAAAGAAAGAATAAATTTGAGACCTAAAATGAAATTATAATTAACAATAAATTTAACTTGGGCCTGGTTCGGGCCTTGTTTCTGGGCCTAGATTGGACAAACCGAGCCTTTTTATCGAATTGATTTTCTGAAGCTTAAGCCCAGCCCTGAATTTCGCAATAAACATATCGGCTTTCGTATTCACATCCGGACTCGGACAGAACAGCGGCTGCGCCACCGCTTCCCCGCCGTCCACGGCGGTGGTGGCGCTACCAGACTCAATCGACACTTCGCTTCTCGGCGATTCACCGTCTTCAACATCCGATGAGTCACTACGAGAGCTGTTCATGCTTCCGATCCGAACGTAATCGCCTTGGACCACGAATCTCCAGGCCGGCATTTTGAACGGCGGTGGGGGTGGCGGCGGCGGTGGGGGAATTCGAATCAACGGCGACTCGGATCCAGTCAACGGCGATTCTCCTCCGCTGTTGGATTTTTCTTCGACATTGTTGAAATTGCTTATCTTCACCGGCAAAGGCGGTTCGCGAGCAGCGATCGGTGCCGTTTGGATCGTTGTTGTTGAGGGTGGCGGTGGTGGTGGTGGCGGTGGTGGAATTGTGAGGATTTTTTTGCTTTTGCCTTTTTTGGATGAGAACATGTTTTGAAAAACGGAAGGCGGTGGCGGCGGAGGTGGAGGAGGCGGAGGCGGCGATGGTGGTGGTAGTAAAGTAAGAGGAGGAGATTGAAACAGAGATTGAGTTTGAAGTAGAGATTCGAAATTATCGACGCTTTTTTGCCTTTGCTTCTTCTTCTTCTTGCTCTGATGGTAGAGTGATGTCAAGAAGTCCTTAGTTACATTTGCTCCACCGCTTCTTTTCCTATCACTTTTGCTGCTCTTCTTCTCCGATGACATCGACGGCGGCCGCGGAGGTGGAGGTGGAGGTGGCGCCGCCGATGTCGTCGGTTCTGATTCATTCTTCACTTGCTGTTTTCGTTTTTCTTTATGTGCGATACTTTCATAGGTTCGCTTTGGCTTCCGATGAACAGCTGGTAGTGGCGGCGGCGGCGGCGGCGGCGGCGGAGAAGTCCGAAGTGGTGGAGTATATGAATCTTCTTCCTTAGCACGAATCACCAATGTATCAACATGAATAGTCTTGCTACGATCAGATCCTTCATCTTCTTCTTCGATCCGTTTTGGCGCCGCCGATGTCGTCGGTTCTGATTCATTCTTCACTTGCTGTTTTCGTTTTTCTTTATGTGCGATACTTTCATAGGTTCGCTTTGGCTTCCGATGAACAGCTGGTAGTGGCGGCGGCGACGGCGGCGGAGAAGTCCGAAGTGGTGGAGTATAGGAATCTTCTTCCTTAGCACGAATCACCAATGTATCAACATGAATAGTCTTGCTACGATCAGATCCTTCATCTTCTTCTTCTTCGATCCGTTTCCAACTCCGTCGTCTGCGAAACCGATCGGACTCCGAATGCTGATACGCATCCACTTGAGTATCATCGGAAAATCGCCACCGATCATCAGCGGCAGCGTCCCAAGGCGACGCTTCACGCAGATCTGGATACGAGCTACTGGCCCTACTAGTCCTCCTCAATCCACCAACACCAGATGAATCATACACCGTCCGATGATCCGAATACTCATACCACCGATCAACCGTAGACGAATCCGATTTCTGGACCTCATTTCTGACATTACTAGAAACAGTCTGATGATCCTGATGATGATCTTCATCATAGTTCTTGTTTCGGCTGAGAAATCCGAAGACCAGAGCAAAGAGAACTAGTACTATATTGATCGAGTCCCAGCTTTTCTTCACCAAATTAGGTCTGAAAATTTGAGTAGTGAAAGATAGAATTGAAGGAATGATGAAGAACATGAAGAGAAATGCAGTTACGCATAAGAGGAAGATCAGGGCGCCGGAGCTGAGGAAGAAGGAGGAGGGAGAGCGGCGGCGGCGGCGATTGGTGGAGCTTTGAAGCCAAAATGGCGTCAAGTCTTCTCCATCTTCTTCCATAAGTTTAGAGAGTTCGGTCTGCTTTTGAGAGAGAGAGAGAGGAGCTTTTTTCAGACAGTGGAGACGTGTTTGGTTTGCTTTTGCTTTTGCTTTTCTTTTTGGGATGTTTTTGCTTTTGCTTTTGCTTTTGCTTTTGCTTTTGGGGGTGTGGTTTTGCTTGCTTTATAGGGAAATTTTCGGGCTATGTATGGTTTTATATATAAAAATTGATAGTTGCTTGTTTATTAATTACTACTAATCGAATTTAAGGCTTGGTTTAGAATGTGAATTAAATTTTTTGATTATTTTAGTTTGCAGTTAATTTTTTTTATTTGGAATAGATTTTTTGTCTTTTTATTTTTATTTTTATAAAAAATAAAATAATTATGAATTTGATGTGATATTTTATTTTATTTGGTTAAAATAACATTTTTGTCTTATATGATTATTTTAGCTTAAACACTTATCCCAAACCGCCTTTGTTTGGAATGTGAATTAATTTTTTGACTTTTTTAGTCTAAGGCTTAAAAAGTCTCATTTAAAATAGGTTTTTTTTTTACTTTTTTAATTTTTATGAGAAAAAAAAATGAATAAAATAATTATAAATTGAATGTGATAATTATCTAATTTGATTAAAATAGTCTATTTTATCTTATATGACTATTTTAAACCAACTCATCTTTCCAAAGGGACCCATAATATCCTTTCCTTTCAAGTCATTCATTTTTACTAATAAATATATTTAATAAATAATATAATTATAATTATCAGATTAAAGTAACTTGTTTTAGAATTAGAATTATCTAAAAAAATACTCCTTTTAGAATAATTTAAATTAAGAGCTCACAAGATAAACCAATTATTCATATTCAAAACTTATAAGATAATCACTAAAATCATCTTCATATCATTTGAGTGTTTGTTTGGCATCGACTTTTTTAAGTTATGTTTTTGCATTAAGACTTTTTTAACTTGTTTTTTTTAACCTCGTTTGATTTGATTTTTTTAACTTTTATGAAAAAAAATTATAATAATTATGATTTAAATGTAATATTTTATCTTATTAATTTATATAATTAATTTTATCTTTTTATACATTTTAACCAAAAATCTAAAACCAAACGAACGTACGTTTGTCACATGGATGGGAAGGTTACACAATTAATAAAATTCAAAAAGATAATGTAAAATAAAAAAAAATATTACCAAAACTAACTTCATATACCATTATTCTTTGGTAGTGTCTGATAAATTTTAGAATTAAAAATTAAATGTTAAATTTTTTAAGATAAAGACTATTTGATAGAGTGTTGAACAAAAAATAAATTATTTGATATGTATAAAATCAAATTTATTATTTATTAGTTTCAAATTATATGTTTCAATTTTTATATTGTGATAGTAATGGTGGTAGGAATAAGGATGGTAGTAGCAGTAAAATGATAATGGGTCTTATGGTAGCAAATGACAATAGTGATGAAGCTGGTGATAATAATGGTGGTGGTGGTGGTAGCGGTGGCGGCGCCATAATGATGGTAGTAGTAGTGATAGTGATGGCAATGGCATGATAATAGTGGTTGTTATGGCGGCAGAGATGGTGGTGGTGACAATAATAGTAGCAGTAGCAATAGTGGTGATGGCGGCGGCGGTATGATAGTAATGGTTGTGGTGGTGGTAGGTGGCAGTGGCAGTGGCGGTGGTGAGAGTAGTAGTAAATTTATAATAGTATATATCGATACTTATGTTTAATATTAATAAATTTAATCAAAATTAAGTAAGTTTCATGAGTTAAAATTTTCTTACATTTTAGCCTAAGTTTTAAAATGCATTTGAGTTTTTAAGTTATATTAATTATGATTATCAAACGGACTTAATTGATTATCATTTAATACATTCAGTTTTAAATGATGAATCAGGTTATCAAACACTTCCTTACTCACATGACTATAATTTTTATAAGGTAAATTACACTAACAGTTCCTATAGTTTAAGGATCGTGTCACTTTGGTCCCTAATTTTTCAATTGCGACACATTTGACCATGAATTATGAATCTTGTTCCAAATAAGGATAATTGAAGATATCATTGCTTAATTTCAAGGGCAAAGTCGTCAATTTAATAAAATATAAACTATTTTGAAAAAAATAAATGTCAAAAAAATATTTTTGAATTGTTAACAATAATTTTTATCCACCAAAGATGAAATTATGTAATGATATCAGATAGAAACTAATCCAAACACATAATAAAAATTAATTTGATAAAAAGATAAATAAATAAATGTCTAAAAGATTTATTAATTTTATATAATTTTATCTTTAGTAGTGAGAGGGAGATTTTCGTAATCTCGGCTTGGGTTGCGGTTCTGGCCGGGTTGAAATTGGTCCAAGCATATTTGGGCCGAGCTGGGCTAAGTCGTGCCGAGAGGAAGCTTGTTCGACCGAAGTCCATACCAAAGTTGGCTGAGATGATCCTATGCCAGCTTGTTTTCTCTTGTTCGCTCGTTTCAGCTTGGTGATCGTGATCTGTCGCAGACCGGCCTAACTTGGCTGGAGCACGGTCACACTGGAGTGCTGCTGAGCTCGGTAGTGATGGTGCTCAGTGAGGATCATTGTTGGGCTCGTTAGGCAGCACGGTTGAAGGAAGCCGGGATGGTGCTGCCGGGCTGTCCGTTCCCACTAATGTTGTCTGGCAGCTTGATTAGGTGGTGTTTAACTGGATTTGCGCTGATAGATGGGAGAGCTGCTCCACGTGTCAATAGACGAATGGGTACAGAGGTGAACGCAGAAAGTATTCAAGCATGACTGCACCCCCTATGCTGTGGATGGAACATTATTTGGTGAGAAACACTCATTGTGATATATCTCTCTCTTCTTCTCTCTCCCCCTGAGTGTGTGTGCTAACTTGACCGTCGGAGGGTTTTCCGGCCACACACCGCCGAGTAGCTCACCGCCGTTGTACTCGCAGGTCGATCGGCTAGACAAGGAGCTTGGACGAAAGGAGTACGGGCTTTGCAGAATATTTGCTCCCCGTACAATTGGCGCCGTCTATGGAAAGTCGACAGACAAAACCTTGTCCTCTAAGCTTCTCCGGTCATCTTTTATGGCGAACCACAATGACATTCCGTTACTCACTATCGATGGCATCATGCCAGAGTCCGTTTGGCGCAGAGATGGCCCGTCCGCCATTCCAACGATGGTTGATTTGGAGACCTCCGCACAAGGTCTTCCCAAAGATGCCCGAAACGAGCACGCAAGGAGTTCTAGGTGCTCTATCGGTGCAGAAGAGAGTCGTCGACAGTGAGATTCATACACTCGGCACCTGGAAGACAAGTTGAAAGACCAAGATACCATCATTAAGAAAATGGTGACGAGGGTGGAGGCCATGAAACGCCAGATGAAAGGAAAGGGCGTCACAAGAGTGAGAAACCATAGTGAGCACGCCCACTCCCGTCGTTCCAGCAGTCAGAATAGACGCCGTACCCCTTCACTCTTCATTATGAGAAGCTTTAGAGCTAAAGACTACATCGCGCCGACGATGACATCTCGTACGTGGGACAGCAGTTACTACCCCTTACGTCCGACGACGGCGTCGGGATATTAACGCTCAAACCGTTTGAAAGACCTAAGAGATATGTTGGAGGAGCACACTCGTCGGCGGGAAGCGCAAAGGATGGTGGTGCAAACAACCATGGAAGAGATCTAGGGAGTTTGGTTTTGGAAGACGTCAGTTAGAAGGTCGAGGAAAAGGGGCAATTGACAATCATTTTGATGAAAAGATCAGAATTCCTTGCCAGGCTGATTTTACACGACAAGATGAAAGTTGGTGTTTTGTTCAACTTTGAAATTGCTTACCGGGCAGATTTTGCTCGGCGAGAGATTTGGTGATGGTTTTGATCAACTTTAGAGTTCCTTATCGAGCTGATCTTGCTCGCCAAGAGGAAAGTCGTTGAGCTGACCTTGCTCGCCGACCTTGGAGTTCCTTGCCGAGCTGATCTTGCTCGTCAAGAAGAAAGTCGCTGAGTTGACCTTGCTCGCCGACCTTGGAGTTCCTTGCTGAGTTGATCTTGCTCGCCAAGAAGAAAGTCGCTGCGCGAACCTTGCTCTCGCTCTTGAAGTTCATTGTCAAGCTGATCTTGCTCGCCAAGAAGGAAGTCGCGGAGCGAACCTTGCTTACCAACCTTGGAGTTCCTTGCCGAGCTGATCTTGCTCGCCAAGAAGAAAGTCGCCGAGCTGACCTTGCTCGCCAACCTTGGAGTTCCTTGCCGAGCTGATCTTGCTCGCCCAGAAGAAAGTCGCGGAGCGGACCTTGCTCCCGCTCTTGGAGTTCCTTACCGAGCTGATCTTGCTCACCAAGAAGGAAGTCGCGGAGCAGACCTTGCTTGCCGACCTTGGAATTCCTTGTCGAGTTGATCTTGCTCGCCAAGAAGCAAGTCGCGGAGCAGACCTTGCTCACCGACCTTGGAGTTCTTTGCGGAGCTGATCTTGCTCGCCAAGAAGCAAGTCGGGGAGCGGACCTTGCTCACCGACCTTGGAGTTCCTTACCGAGTTGATCTTGCTCGCCAAGAAGAAATTCGCCGAGTTGACCTTGCTCGCCGACCTTGTAGTTCTTTGCCGAGCTGATCTTGCATCCAAGAAGAAAGTCGCGGAGCGGACCTTGCTCCCGGTCTTGGAGTTCCTTGCCGAGCTGATCTTGTTCGCCAAGAAGGAAGTCGCGGAGCGGGCCTTGCTCGCTGACCTTGGAGTTCCTTGCCAAGCTGATCTTGCTCGCCAAGAAGAAAGTCGCGGAGCGGACCTTGCTTGCCGACCTTGGAGTTCTTTGCCAAGCTGATCTTGCTTGCCAAGAAGCAAGTCGCGGAGCGGACTTTGTTCCCGCTCTTAGAGTTCCTTGCCGAGCTGATCTTGCTCGCTAAGAAGAAAGTCGCCAAGCTAACCTTGCTCGCCGACCTTGGAGTTCCTTACCAAGCTGATCTTGCTCGCCAAGAAGAAAGTCGCGGAACAGACCATGCTCCCGCTCTTGGAGTTCCTTGCCGAACTGATCTTGCTCGCCAAGAAGGAAGTCGCGGAGCGGACCTTGCTCGCCGACCTTGGAGTTCCTTGCAGAGCTGATCTTGTTCGCCAAGAAGAAAGTCACAGAGCGGACCTCGCTCGCCG